GCCAAGACTCTAAATACAGCTACAAGTTGTTCAGCATCATGTATTTCATTATGAAGTGTCCCAGGGGTGTGAGAGATTTAATACATTTCTGAGTACCTGTTCAAGATTTATGTTTCTTTTCTCATCTGATCTGAACTGATTTGAGACTTACAACATTTGATTTTGAATGCAGCACATTTCAAGAATCAGTATATTATGACATATAATCAAAAGGAATAAAGCACCTTTATCTTGCTTAACTCTAACATGTTACATGATTGACTGTCCAAATTCCTTATCTGTTTAGATTATAATATGAATAATTTTCTTCATTATAAAATGCTTAAATCAGTCAGGCAGTGGTGATGTGTGTGTGCCTTGAATCCTAGTACTCTGGAGGCAGTGTCAGGTGGATCTTTCTAAGGTCAAATCTAGTCTAGTCTACAGAGTGAGCTCCAGGAGAGCCAGAGCTACTTAGAGAAACCCTAAAACAAGAAACAAAAATAAACAAACAATAAAAGCTAATTATAAGGAAAATAATAAAATGGATTTTATTGCATATATTTTTTTGTCTCCTGCTTTTGGAAACAAATCATTTCCTCAGTAAGCTTACACTCTGAACTAGAATGCATGTTCTGTATATAGTGTTCTAGGTATTTGGTCTCAAAATACATTTGTGTACATTTTCATATGAAGCTTCCTATCTTTATTATTATTCAGGGGCCTGAAACATTATTTCATGAGGAAAGATTGATATTTGTTCCTCCCAGAACACACTAAGGCAGTCAGTACTTTTACCTCTGTGTGCAAATTGGAAGTTCATACACAGAAGTTTACCTGAGTAGTCATTTGTGAGGCATCTTCTTCCCTTGATTTAAGATGACTAATTTTAAACTGAAATTTTTAGAGGTTTATTTATTTATTATTTATTTTTTAAATTTAAATTAGAAACAAGGTTGCTTCACATGTCAATTCCAGGTCCCTCTCCTTTTCCCTCTCCTCCTCCTGTGCCCTCCCACCAACCCCCACCAGTATGCCCGAATTTCCGCAGGGAAGGTGAGGCCCTCCATGGAAGTGTCCATAGTCTGTCATTTTATCCATGGCAGGGCATAGACCCTCCCCCAAGAGTCCAGGGAGAGAGTGCATCTCTCATTGTTGTATGCGAGCCCAACGTCCATTTGTATACCCGGGATAAATACTGATCTACTACCCAAGGCTCAATAGATTACCTAGGTCTCCTCACTGACACCCCCATTCAGGGGGTCTTGATCAGTTCCATGCTGGATTCACAGGCATCAGTCTGGGACTCAAGAGCTAACCCTTGTCAGATCAGCTATTTCTGGGGGTTAAACCAGCCCAGTCTTAACCCCTTTGCTCATCAGTCCTCCCTCTCTATCACTGGATTTCTTGAGTTCAGCTCAGTGCTTAGCCATGGGAGTCTGCCTCTTCTTCCATCAGCCACTGAATGAAGGTTCTGTTTCCCAGATTCTCTGGCCATGGGATTGTAGGCTGGCACTCCCCAGATCTATGTCTAAAATCCATGTATGAGAGAGTACATGCCGTGTTTCTCTTTTTGTTACCTTTTTGTTACTGGGTTACCTCACTCAGGATGCTTTGTTCTAGTGTCATCCATTTGCCTGCAAATTTCAGGATTCCATTGTATTTTTCTGCTGAATAGTACTCCATTGTGTAAATGTACCACATTTTCTCTATCCACTCTTCAGGTGAGGGGCATCTAGGTTGCTTCCAAGGTCTGGCTATTACAAATAATGCTGAGGTTTATTTTATTTCATGTCTCTGTGTTGTTTCTTTTTCCTGAATGTATACATATGCACAGTGGCCATGCCTCAAGTCTGAATCTATCTTTACGACGTATCTCTATCTTTTGCTGATCACATGAGTCTTCAAACTTCTAAACAGGGTGACTAGGACCAAAGTGGGTGCTTTGGCAGCTGACACTGCCCCGTTCCTTATTTCTGAAAGCCAAGTTTCTTGGCATATGTATCATCAGGAGCTACATTTATCATCCCAAGATTTTGGAGTTTCTGTGTTCAAGCTGCCACCAAGTAACCTGCCACCACCTGCTCATAAACACCATATAAGTGTTTGGAAGCAGGACATCTTTAAAGTGCTGCCCATATTTGCTACTAGTAGGAACAAGGAAGTTCTTCTTAAATGAACCTTTCGTTGAATCACTGCCAGGAAACAGCACCCCAGAGAAGAGTCAGCCACCAAGAAGCCATGCTTACCTTTGTCATTGAGTGTCTAGAACCATCTTTAAGCTTTGTCAGGTTTTATGTGTAAATTTAGGCCCCACATTGGAACACCATATATAAAGTGTAATTTTCCTGTCCTGACCATCCACTCCCCATTCTGACAGCTGCTTCCAAATTTCCACACAGAGACTTAGTATCATTTATAAATGTTCAATTGTATAGCTTGGACTCCTCACTAGCTAACTCTTACACTTAAATTAACCTTTAATTCTTATCTATGTTTAGCCACTTAGCTTGGTACCTTTTCTCAGAAGGCCATTCTCATCTTGCTTCTTTTCTCTGACTTTGAGCTTCCTCTTCCTCTTCCCAGAATTAACTTTCTCTAGTTTTTCTTTCAATCTCTTCCTGCCCAGCTAGCAGCCACCCAGCATTATATTAGCCAGTGAGAATGATACAGATTCGTAATGTGCAAAGCATTGTTCCATATCATCTCATATTGTATTTTAAAGAACACTCCCAGTAATTAATTCTATGTAAGAAACAGAACATCTAGTTCATCTCAGGTATTGAAGTTCAAAAGAATGCTATAGAAAAATCTGTTTATGGAGCATTTTACATGTAAATAAAATGTCTTTTTTGAATAATTTCTATGAAAATATTTCACTGGTCACTTCCCTAAAACATCACATTCAGACAGAGACATGCTAATCCTGAAGTAATTCATACATTGCCTGCTTCGTATGCTCTGTGAGAGTTATTTATTTGCATGCCTGTTTAGTCAACTGAGTGTTAGTGACATTGTTGGATCCACTGTGAGTTTTAGATTGAGTAAAACAGTGGCTGAATAGATAACAGCACAAGAAACCAGGGTGGCTAATGCATTCCATCAGCTCTGGATTTCTTAGGCTATAGCAGTAGACATACTAGGAAACATTGAGAATAACATTTCTGATACCCAGAAGTTATATTGTACGTGCAGAATTTTATTTCTTCATGTAAATTCTTGAATTATCTGGTGTCAAAAAGGAAACATTGGCTTTGACAACAAAACAAAATACTTTTATTGCTTAATGCATGATCATTCAACAATTATACACAGTATGCCAGAAAATTTGAAAACCTTATGTAAAACTACTTATGATTATTGTAAGAAACATTAGAGCTAGTAACCTTGTATTATTGCAGTTAAGTTTATTAATAATAATAAGATGTAGATATCATGTAAATGTTTTTATGTGTGTTTTGGGGCAGAAAAGGAAGGAAGAATGGACGGAAAGAGAAAAAAGGACAAAAAGATACAAACTTTTAAGAATAATATGTTTTCTAATAACACAGTGATAATGACATTTGATTGTTTTGATATTGTTCTTTACATCAAGAAGTAGAGTAATATTCATACAAATTGATAAAGTTACAAATCTCCTAAGAAAGAAAGCATGAGTATTATTCCTGTACTTAATATTTGATGTTAAGTAGGTGGTAAAATTGTTTTGGTGGTAATCTTCCTACTGAAGAATTCTAATTTGTGATAAAAACTGTAAGTCAAGATGAAAATTTTAAGAGTATTATTTACTATACCTCAGCTCATTTTCCATTGTCATAGCTTTCATTTAAACATAATGGAAGTGCATATGCTAAATGCTGAAGTGCTGAACATATAGGGAAAGCAAAGGGATTTCAGTCTCTGAAGTCCAAATGGATTTAGTAGATTCAGTGGAATGATTTAGTCTGGAGAGTATCTGTTGTAGAGACAGAAGAACCAAAGTTTGCTTTCCCAGCACCCTCATAAATGCTGAGCTTTGGAAGGGCACACCTATAGCATGATTGAGAGCAGACAGAGGTAGATCTCAATGGCTGGGTGGCTGGAAATTCTAGCATAATTAGTGAGAACTAGACTCAGTGAGAGATTCTGTCTCAAAAAAAATTAAGGAGGAAAACAATAGAAAAACTCAACAACTGTCAACTTCTCTCCTGTACATGCATGTGTATGTAAACACACACATATGCACATGAGCCCCATAAATTCTCATCCTTATCTTAAAAATATATTCACTCATTACAGAAGTAAAACAAGGCAAATAAATTGCTTGAAGTTCTTATGTAACCAGTAGCCAACTATTTTCCACATAGTAAGAATTCCATACATTTGTTATTTCCAAAAACTGTCTAAACTTTTGTATATTTCTTTTAAAGTATACATTCTGCACATCATGAAAAAATAGTGTTTTATTACAAATACCATATATTGAACAACTTCTTCACTAGTCATTGCTCATAGTTTTGATGGCTGACAAGGACAAGAAATAGTATTGAAAGATCTATTCTTATTGCAGTGGATTTCTGGTTTTAATGACAAATTTCTGACGGTTTCCTCTCAAAGAAAGGAAGCTGTAGTATATCTTTGTTTTTGAGGGTACATAGGTTGTGTAAGCCCTTGTTCACATGTTTGCACTTAAAAAACTATGTGGATATATTGCCATATGCATGACTATGTGAGTGTATGCATGCTTGTGTGTGTGTGTTTGAAGGACAGAGGTCCTTGTCTTCTCAATCTCTTCTATGCCTTCTTTTTGCTGTTGTTGACAGAATGTCTTATTGAAATCAGATCTCTTTGATTTCCCCTGTTTTTCTGTCCAGTGCTGGCCAAAGTGGTCTATGGATACCCTTGTCATCTTATTCACAGATCGGGTATTCCATATATGTGCCACTGCACGAACTGACTTTCCAATCCAATTTCCTGTTCTCTGTCTCTATCATTCTCACTCTCTCTGTCTCTCTGTCTCTCTCTCTCTCTCTCTCCTTCCTCTCTCCCTCTCTCTGTCCCTACCACCCAAAAGGAAAGAAAGGAAGCCCATAAACAAAAAAATATTAAAACAAATTTGTTAGGCAAAAAATAGCCAACACTAAACAGCTCTACAATACAAACAAAAATGATAACAAAATTGTGAGTTCAAGATGTCTTGGCCAAGTACTACTCTTTGGTTTGGGGTATTGACTAACTTGTATAATCCAGTGACATTGCATTGGAGAAAACTGATATTGCATTTCCCAGGAAGGTTGTCAATGGTGTCCCTATTTAAGATGAGACTGGTTCCAGTTCCTCTTACAAGTACTTTGATTTTGTCTATTTGAACATGTGCAGGTACTGTGCATACTTTCATAGTATTTGGTAGTCAATATGTGTATCTTCTCTGTTGTGTCTGGATGATACTGAATGACAAGGGCACAGTTAGAGATACCATCAAGTAAAACTCCAGGCACGGGAATGATATACAGCTTGTTGAGTTGTTGTCAAAAGGGATCCTACAGATGCTTGCAATCATCATAGGCTATTGGTAGGGCTAATTGTTTTTCTTAAAACCATATGCTAAGGCCTTATTTTTGATGTTGACACTTACTAATGGAGAAATTGAGGTGGTACTTATGTACAAGCTTCATATATGTTGTTTAGTGTCATGGTGCTGGAAGGTACTATGCATACTACTGAAAGCAAAATGTAGTCAATAATGTCACCTAGCTACAGACCGTGCAGCCCACAACAGAAATATGAAAACAAGATATATTAGCACAATAGTGGCAGAAATGTTATGAGAGTTACCAAACACATTTGGTTGGATTTAAGGACAATGCCATATGATGAAACTAAATCTATTACTGTTAAAATGCTCAATAACCTAAGTCATTATTGATCATGACAAACAGGAAAACATTGTATTGCAATTCTCCTAGTAAAATGATTCCTAACACCATATTGATAATTGCATGTTTCTACCCTTATCTGATAAAATTTTTCTTGCAGTTGATAAGATAAAAATCTAAGTAACCTACAGAGACAGAGAATTTGCATCAATAAGTCCTAAATGGGTATCTTCATCAAGCTCTTCTTATGGCTCAGGAATCTCTACAGAGAAAAGACAGAAAAATAAATAAGTGCTTGAGATGGTAGATGGCACCAAAAAGAATTTAAAATTGTAAACTGACTTTCACTGCATAGACATAACCAACTTTCTTGTTCAATTTTTTCCTAAAGCTCTTAGTGCTTGGATGGGCTTTGGGAGCCCATTCCCTGTGGAGGGATACTCTTTCAGCGAAGATACACTGGGGAGGGCCTAGGTCCTGCCTAAATGATGTGACAGAGTTTAATGATCCCCCATGGGAGGCTTCACCTTCTCTGTGGAGTGGATGTGGGTTGAGATGAAGAATTGGTGGGGGGTAATGGGAGAATGGGAGGGAGACAGAACTGGGATTGATATGTAAAATAATTTTTATTTTATTATTTAAATTTAGAAATAATCTTAGTTCACATATCAATCCGAGTTCCAGTTCCCTCCCATTCCACTATGCCACCCACCAAACACCCCCAGCTCCCCATCCGCTCACTAGGAAGAGTGAGGCCTTCCATGGAGGAACATCAAAGTCTGTCACATCATTTGGGGCAAGGCCTAGGCCCTCTCCTGTGTATTTAGGATGAGAGGGTATCTCTCCATGGGAAATGGACTCTGAAAGTCTTTTCATGCATGAGTAATAAATACTGGGTCCACCACAAGAGGCCCCATAGACTGCCTAGGCCTCCTAACTGTTACCCACTTTCAAGGGGCCTTGTTTGGTCCTATGCTGGCTCTCCAGTTGAGTGGTTGGTTTTTTAACACAAAAATTAAATAGAAAAAGAAATCCTATCTCAAAAAATATTGAAAACAAACAAAGAAGCTCTTAAATATTCCTGGGGGTCTCTTTTTGTAACAGAAATAAAATAATACAGAGGTGATCAGATTTTTGCCTTTTCACAAGAGTATAAGATAAGATTTGAGAGGGTCAATGTACCTGTAGCATCCAATCTTAATATTTAAATTAGTGTTAAAAGGTTTTTAGCTAGCCATTTATTTCATAAATCTCTGCATTAGCTTACCTCTATTACGTATGAAAATAATTATTTGCAAATTCATAGTTTTTATTATATTTGATGGTTATCTATTTCAATAGCATATGAGTAAGATACTGAATACTTATTAAAGCAAATAAGCTTTTGATAAGCTTTTAATACTCTCCAAACATATTTATGTATGTATGTATGTGTGTGTTTGTGTGTATGTATGTATGTATGTATGTATGTACAGATTTTTAAAATGCCTACACTGCAAGACTGTACTAACAATATCAATTCTACACTTAATAAAATTCTATACTTACAGTTTGGTTTTATGAACAGCAGTGACATTGATAAACTTTTTGTCTGTTTATAAAAGAAGCCAATTTTGGGGATATGAAAAATATTCTAATACATAATGTTGAAAATAATAGGAACTGAGAATGAAATTTATATGTGTGGAGAATATCACACTGCTCCCCAGCTTTAACAATAATGATCTTATTAAGCATTGACCCTACAATTCACATTAGGAGAAGGAAAAAAAGGAAAATATTAAAATCTGAATAATAGATATCTGGCATAATTAAATGAAGTCATTTTTGTAAATTATATATACTTAAACTGCATATTTCTATGTCTTAAATATATAATGTTTTTATATTTTTATAAAATAATATTTTGCAATTTATATAATTGTATCCTATAGCATAAAACTTACTATTTTCAAATGTATGATTCAAAATTTTAAGTGTTTTATTTTTAATTAATTAATTTCTTCTTCTGAGACAGGATCTCACTCTGTTGCTCAAGCTGACCTGGAATGAAGCACCCAAAACTGTCTTTTAAACTATAACAATCAACTTGTTTCTAATGCCTGATCTCTGTGATTATAGTTGCAAACAATCACACTTGGCTTCCAAGTGGTTTAAATACATTATCTCTTTTGGGTTTCATTATGAACATTTGATGTTGGAAATTATTAGTCATATTTTAAAAGAGTTCCATCTTATATCTACCTGATAATACTTACCTTTATAGTATGCCTGGAGCTTCACACCAAAATACTGCATATCTAGGATAGAACAGAAATTCCCTAGTGTTTGACTCGGGGAGCTTTATGGGTGTATATATATACATACATATTTGTGCAATGTAACATATAGTAATATCATCTAAATGTTTTCTTAATATTTTTAGAAAGCAAAACATGGGAAAATTTTCTATTGACATTGAGTATTTAAGAATTTCATTAGAATAGTTAGAATTTAATTAGAAAATGTAGCTAGTATTGATTTTTCTATTACAGAAGTTGCATAACAAAAGGTGACAATGGTGAAAAAAGTACAAAGTATTCCAACTATAATGAGAACAATTAATCTGTTGCAATTTACATTTCTTCCTCAATATAAGTATATTAGATAAACAAAAATGTTTGTACTCTTTATTTGGAAACATAAAGTCTGATACAAGATGTTGTTTTGTAAGGTCAGATGTTTACAACAAGAGAAACAAGATGGTAATGTAAATTTATTTAATCTGGAATGCTTGGATTGCAGAGCCTCAACTAGCTTCTTAGTAGCTTCCTGATTTTAAATGTGTTGCCTTCTTTTTCATAGGCTTTAAGAACACTTGAAAGTGTCCTCTTTTTTTGTTTTTTATGAGACAGGGTTTCTTTGTATTGTTTTGGAGGCTGTCGGTACAGCCTGGCCTCGAACTCACAGAGATCTGCCTGCCTCTGCCTCCTGAGTGCTGGAATTAAAGGGGTGCACCACCACCACCTGGCTGAAAGTGTTCTCTTGACTGTAATAAAATCAGAGTTAATTTTCTTAAGTATTTGTTTCATCTTGATGAGTTTTACTTGACATTGTATAGAAAGCTGAAAAACTATTAGTCCCAAGATCCTTGCTTTAGAAGTATTTCATTTAAAATACATGTTTTCATTGTTTTAGATCATGTACGTGTGTCTGATCTGAGGCATGTGCACTTTAGTGCAAGTGACTGGGGAAGCTGGAGGTATCAGATGTCTCCAGAATAAAATGGGTACTGGAAATCAAACTCAGTTTTGCTAAAAAACAAAAACAAAACAAGCAACAACAACAAAAATAGTATGAATCTTTGACCACAGAACTTCTCAAGTCTCCTGACCATTGTTACACTGAATATATATCCATGTCTATTTTTCAAGAAAATCTTTATATACTGCTATAAATGTTGAGTCAAGAACTATTCCAAAAACAGAACACATAGGTTTAATGTGGTCTAACTCAGTGTTCAAATTTTGGCAACAAATGATATTTTCCATGTTCCTTTACTTATATTTACACTTGAATTCTATTCACTACACTATAGCTTTCAAAATCTTACTCTGCACATTTGCAATCATAACAACTATATTGGTAGCAATCTTCACCCAAAGACAAGGCTTGCCTGGTCATGTCATACTCATGATATGATGTACTGTGTGTATTAATAGATTGATATTGAGCACCTAATAATCTTCTCTGAGGCTGAATAACATCCCCTCAAAGTCATATTTTTATCCTCCTGACCATTACAACTTACTGCATCTAAAACTAAAGTATCTATATTTTCAGATTAAAAACAATGCATAATTAATTCATTAAAATAACAGGAAGGGATTAATGACATTATTTGAGAAGTGTAGACATTTTTAAAATAGTATTGAAATGGCATGGGAGAAATTTTTCTGCAATTTGATTTCACAGATAACAACTAAAAAATGTTACATAATTTAAAATGATCAAGTGCTCAGAACCACTAACCAAAAGGACAGAGGAAATAAATAAACATTTTATTACACTAGATGTAGAAAAAGAATTAGCATATTATACTAGCAAGGAAATACTAAGAGTTTCATTTGAGTGTATATGACACTATTGTTTTATTTTTTTGTCATTTTTTTAGTTGCACATAGGAATCTCCTTTTAATTTTCTCACATTTCTCTGGTGAATATGCAGAAATTTGACTCTGTGGTATTTGACATCTACATTTCATATTATGAAAGACTAGTCTCTAAAACTAACCTCTAAGAATAAAGACGAAGCCTGCTAAACCTGAAAATTACTAAACTGTCTGATTCTATGATTATTAGAATGATAGGCATGTTGATGTTTGATTTAGAAACTCTCAAAATGAGAGACTGATGAGGGCGATTTAAAAAGTTTAATTATCTGAAGAAATTCTATCTGCCAAATCTAGGAAGATAAAGAATAAAATTGTCACGACTACCTCGACCAGCAAGGAAGATGCGACTCAGGAATCCTTCTCATCAGCGGTTTATTCAGGAACCTTGAAACAACGTGGAGGCAGCCACGGGAAAAACCCCTCCTGCTCCCTAAATAGCCGAGGCCAGCCAACCCTGAGCAGCCACGTGTGTGCAAGCCATAGGCTCACCAGAATGCATAAGCAATCTGATGATGATGGCGTGACCCCGGCGGGATGGGAGCAGGCCAAATAAGGAGTTGTTTATTACCGAGCGCACTCACCGTCAGGATGGTGGAATGCGGAAGCCGGCGCCATCTTTGAGGCGCGGTGTGGCGCAGCTCTCCACATAAAATGAAAACAGTTATGATGTGAACTAGTATAATAATGAGTGTTTGAGAGTATATATTTGGTACATTTGGATGAAAGGAAAATCTGTAAACTATATTGCAAATAAATTTGGGAATACAAAGAGAGACTTTAGACAATACAGCCAAGCTGTATGAATTAACATGAACAGAAACCAGGACATACTATAGTTGTATCCTTACTTAACAACTGTTGGGGAAGTCCTGTGTATATGTCAATAAAGCACTGTTAGCCAATAGAGAACCAAGATAGGTGGGACAAGGAGTCCAGGAGGACTCTGGGAAGGAGAAACACAGAAAGTCATGATGTAATGCCATGGGGTAGGAAGCCCGGAAACCTCTCAGGTAAGAGAACTACTTAGATTAGCAATTATGGGATAAATATTTAAGTCAGAGCTAGCCAGTAAGAAACAAGCAAGGTCAACAGCTTCATAATTAATATAGCCTCCTATGTGTTTATTTGGGACTCATGCGGCTCTGGAACCAGGCTGGCGGGAAGGCTTCTCTTTACAAACAACTGTGCATTATTTTGTTCAGATCCATTTCTACAAATCTAACTACCCATTGATCTGAATAATTTCAATTATATACCTAAATGAAGTCTCATTTTGACTTTTATTTGTGTAAATAGAACTTGGCTATCCATTTATATCCAACATTAAAATTGTTTTTATTTCTCTGCTTAATTTCTTCAGCTTTTTAATATTACATTATTAAGTGAATGGGTATTTCAGATGAAACAATCAAGAAATGGAATTAAGATAGAAACAAAAATCAGCAGTTACAGGGCAAGAAAAGAATCACTTATCAGAAAGGACTGTATAATTCCATTATTGATAGCAGTTATTAAAAATCATTCACAGAGTGGAATCTATAGACTTCCTATTCTTTTAAAAAATATCATATTAGGTGAAATGATAACATCCTCAATTTTTAGGCATTTGCTATGTATTTCACTAATTAATTCTTCCTGTTTACCAAGTTGAGATATTTTAAAATAAAGACATCACTACTGTGTCCATTTCACACGTTGAACATTCTAAAATAAGAAAGGAGATTGCAAATAGCACTCAAAATATGATGGCATCACAGCTGTCTTTTGAAAATAAATACATAAGCAAAGCATATAAACCCACTGTTACTCCATATTCTAGCAATCTCTGTTAAATGAAGATGAAACAGCTTTCCTGTGTGAGATGGAGACATCAACTGCATTAAATTAGATCTTTTGGTATTTAAGTGAAAGACAGTTTTTTCCCCCAGAATCTGAATTACCTGCCTCAAATAACTTTATAAATTGGACTGAGCAGTATTGAGTTTGTGGGTTGTTTTTCTATTCCCTTTGCTTGACACACAGTTCAGTATTCTATTTTTTCTTTGACTGTGAGAGACGATTTAATAACAGAGACTATGCCAGTAATGCAGAAATGAAATGCTTCAAATTGCATCTGTGTCCCCAGTGTCTTCTTTAGACTTGTCCCAAGAAAAGCACATATTTTGAAGTAGTTATAAAGGGCTCTCATTTTGAATAGATAATTTATTTCATAAGATACACATTTCTCTCCTTTGAAAACAAGAGGAAAATAAGGACTTTGTTCTCCTCCCAGTGTAATTGTCTAGAGAACACTCATATGATACCTCTCACTTCAGCTTTTACCCCGTAAAATATATAATTTAACACTGTGTGCACATGCATGTGAATTGATAACTCTGAATTTTCTTAATTTGGCCAATAGAATAGCTTTCAGAATTTGAGATTCCTGGTCTGCCATCAGAGAGTAGAGAACTAAAGTGAATTTGTCCAGCTGATCTCTTCTTTGGCATTCACTATGAGCCGGATTTGGAATGCCACTTTAAAATTTTGTCACAGTATGCTTAGTCTAGTTTAAACTTCTAATGTTTTTCACAGTTTCTCAATGTTGTTGGTCCTGAACGCAGCCTTGAAAATGGTATGATGGTGATCATTTCTCATAGGACAACTAGGAACAGATCATTGGCTAGGCCTGATCAGCTCCCAAACACTGAGTGATCAGTTATGCCCCACTCTGTGGTGACATATCTTGGAAGCTGCTTGCTTTAACTTGCCAATTAAAATTATAGCTTGGAAATACTGATAACTTAGGACACCAACAAAGTTAGTGAGTTAAACAACTGGTATGTTTTTCCCTGAGGAGACTATTTCTTAAAATGGTATTTAAGTCAATACCATTCTAGCTTAAAAGAGGCTCAGCCACTACATTTAATTAAAGTTACATTCCATTTTGATCATACTATGAGTTTATTCATTTCTGAAGATTGTTTATTAGATTATTGCTCATATAACACAGCATGCAGAATTTAAATTTCCCAAAAGAATCTGACAGACTATTAAAATTTGAAAGCATATTTTACTGTTATTTTTAGTACTAAAATATAGGTGTAACTAATGAACATAAGCAATGGATATAAATAAAATAAATGAAAAATTTAAAACTATTCTGCTGAAATATTTAACATTGATTTGAAATAATAGTTATCCACTGCATAGTAGTGCAAATAACAAAATTAGTATTTGTTTACTGAAATGTTAATATCAATAAGTACAACTGTATAATATAAAAAACTTTATGCCAAACAGGTACACCATTTCTGTCTTATGCCCAAAAGTTATTAGGAATCAATTTACCGCCATAGATCATAGTCAGCATGTCTTCAAAAACTAGACTTGAAAATTATTGTAAATTTTAACAAAATGCTCTCTGCTATCAATACTCTTAATAATTCTATTTTAGATAATTTGCCGTATAATTGCAATGTTTTATAAGGCAATATACCACAAAACACTTCATTTTCATTAAGACTAACATACAAAACATTGTTTCTAATGAATGTCAAATAATAATTATTTTTACATTGTACATAAGAAAACCAGCATCTTCCTAGTTTTCTTGAAGGATACTAACTAATGAGTGTATATGTATTTATTTATTTATTGGGATTTGGTTTGTATATTATTAGTTACTGTATTGGTTGCATAAGAAATACAAAATCCAGCATAAAACATTTGGGATGGTAATATAAATGCCTGTAATTCATGAATTGAAGAGGTAGAGAAAAAGTAATAGAGGTTCTAGGTCATCCTAAGTTACAAAGTAGATATGGAGTCGTGAAACCCACTTTTTTTCCTACAATTTATTTACCTTTGTTTTCCTATCCCAAGATTCCATTTTCTCCCTCTGTTTTCTGATAGTGCATTATTCTTTTCATGTAATTTTAAAAATGGCAAAGGCAAAGATGGCTGTTAACATTCTTGAAACATTGAGTATCTGTCAGGGACTGTTTTGGCAAACAACTCACTTTAAATTGTTATTAATTTTATATACTGTTAATTTTTAAGACAGAAGTAATAAGTGTTATTTCACTCAGATAACAAACAACTAATTGATAATAAATAAATTGCTGGTATTTGGAAATACTTAAGTTAAACTTGATTCTTACATTGTCATCATAACCTAGACTATATTTTCTCAAGATAATAGTTTTCCATATTTATATATGTATATATGCATATAACATTGTAATATGTTCCTGAAAAAATTACTGTATATATTTTTGATTTGCAATTACATATTTTGAAACACTATCCTACAGTCTTAAAGACATTAACAGAATTTGTGCAATGAATAATATATTTCACTATATTTATTTACAGACAAATTCAGAAATACTAAATATCAAATATGTATCACATTAAATATTCTTTCAAACTTGAAACACACAGTCTAGTGGAGAAAAATATTGTATATTCATAAGTAAAAATAAAATGACAATAAATGGTATAAAATATTAATTAGGGTTGATGATAGTTTTTAAAATCTTAAAAAGTTTTTGTTACTAAGATGGCTAGAGTATTATTATGGTTTGTGTATGTGGTGATATACTATTTATGTTTGATTAAAGCTTTCTGAGGACTTAGAAAGCACAGTGTTCCACTAGTCATAGAAACCAGGCACACACCTTAATCCCAGAAACCAGAAGTTAGTAGGTGGTGGTATACAACTTTAATCCTGGATTAAGAGGTGGTTGAAACACTGTGAGTCCGACGCCACCCAGATCTACACAAGATTGATCCAGTCCTAAAGAGAAACATCCCACACAAAGATGATCTTAGCACATGGGATCACATACCTTTAATCCCAGCATTAGGGAGGTATATAAAACAGGAACAAGGTATAGTATCAGGCATTCATTCTCCAGCTACATTGAGAATAGAAAGGCATTCATTTTCAGGATTCTCTATCCATACTGAGGAAAGGCAGCAAGATCAGCCCATTCTGCCTGAAGTACTGGTTTGGAGCTAGTGACCAACTACTTATTTTGACGCTCAATTTGAAGCTTGAAGCCCAATATCTGTCTCTGGGTTTTTCTATTTATTATGTTAGATGTGTATGTTCATAAATTTGGCCTTCATAATACGATAATTAAATATTAACATTTTAGTGAAAAAAACATTTTATACAGCTCATCTCTCTTCTCCTCCTCATACACAGTGTGTATTTGAATGGGAAACAAAAATTCGTCCACATTCTCATATGGCCATTTTGGGAATGTGACATAATTTTATTTAAATCAGTTCCTTAATAGTTCACCACAGAATTAATTTAGTTATTGCCCAACAACTATTTTATCATCAAAAATCTCAATCAAGTTATCGAGCTTG